CAGCTTAAAATCAAATTTCCAACAGTTAAGAGTCACATTTGAAAGACATGCTTCACTTTTGAGGGCTGTTAGCCATCCTTCCACGCTGGAGTGTCCTTCACCAGGGTGCACACTGAGCCCGGGCAGATGCCAGGGCAGATGTAACAGACAAACATAGGCTGAAAAGTGGAGATATCTGTGCATTAGTGCTATGCATAACCTGGGGCACTGATAAATCATGGTATCAGCTCTTAAAATTACAAGTAAGCAAATGGTACTTTGAAGATAGGGTTAAAACATTGGTAGTCAGCAGCAATCTCTCTATGTGTGCAGTTTTGCATCTGTTTACATGTGTGTTTTGGTCTGCCTACTAAATGTGAAAGAGGCCACAAAGGCTGAAAGCTGTGTAATTTATTTACTTCTGCCAAAAGATGAAAAAGTTATCCACAGACAGTGACAGAGGAATCCAATTACACCAGATGGTGAGAAAACAAAAAAAATAAATTATGTATTTTCTCATTTACTGTCTGACCCATCAGATCCACTCACTGAGCAACTAGGCCATATACAGTCAGTGACACAGACAATCTTGTGTCTAATGATTTTTATGGCAGTAGCAGTAGCAGTGGCAGCTGGTGATTCTTTTCTCCAGGGGGGCAATCCACAGGACCTGTATTTAAATATATGAAAAGGCCTTTATTTGTATTTTTCTGAGCTCATGAAAAGTTGACTTTTTAGAGATATGTAGTTCTCGACGGACATGACAAACATATGATGATCTTAGAATGTGAACAGTAAATAAATGAAAAAAATAAAATTAGCTCAACCATAAATATCTACAGCGGTAAAATGCAACAAACAGATTATAGCAGCAGTAATTTTAATCCAAAAACATCATTTATGACACTATATGTAACACACTGACAGGGATCATTTCACTGCACTATGACTGAAGATAAGTACATTTTACTGATCATACTTAGATCTTGACTTTTAATGCAGGGCTTGTATTTGTAGTAGAGTATTTTCAGTGTGGTAGAATAGTACTTTAACTTTAACCTACTACAATGAGTTTTTAAAGGTAAAGTGTGTAACATTAGGGGGATCTATTGGCAGATTATATGATATAGGTATGTTTTCATCTCTGTATAATCACCTGGAAATAAGAGTTGTTGTGTTCTGTAACCTTAGAATGAGCTGTTTTTATTTTACAGATACCGTGGGTTGCCTTTCATGAAGGCTACCATGTTCCTACAGTAGTACATAATGGATTTTCTAAGGCTGTTTTTCACACATTCCACTGTCACCAACTTCCCTCCCTTGCACTTGGAAAGAGAGGGTGAAGCGAGTGAGTTGCAGTCATCGACTACACTGCTAGATACCACTAATTCTACATACATTGGACTTTTAACTGGTTATAAAATAGTCTCAGTTTAATACTGATGCCTCTGTATGACCCACATAAGCACACCGCGGCATCAAGAAGATTGGCAATTCTTGCCTGGCTGCCACCGGGTCGGATTTGTTGGATTCCCCTTGAAATCAATTAAACAAGACTACCGCTTTTTTCCACAGGGGCTGCCAGAATCGACACAGAATGAAAGTCCCTTGTTACTGCTTTAAGTAAAGGATCTGAATACCACCACTGTTCACTCCACCACCTAGCCTCTGGAGTTCACCTGGGCCCAGAGTGCGGTGTTTCTTGCCCAGGTGCTGCTGAGATACACTGCCACTATGTTCTCCACAGAGAGTATATCGTCCTTTGTCTTTGTTGTTGAATTATAATGCTTAAGCTATTTGACTCTAAGCTTTTTTTAAATAATATTCTTCTCTCAAAATGCCAGATTTTGAATAACTTAACTGACTCTTCTGTCTCCATTTAAACTAGTGAAATTACACTCTCCATCTGTTGCACATAGCTGCTCCAACTCATTCTGGCACATTAGATGTACCTCGAGCCACTCGCTCTCTGCTGCAACACACACATATATATTTCAATTTTGGTGAGTCGTGGGGCTGCATCCTAGCACCCCTATTGGGCAGCACCCATTGGATGGATGAATTTTGTTATTATTTTGTCACCCATGACACCCAAGAAATGATTAACATCCATGCATTGTTCTGGAAGCACTGGTCTGCATATTGTCAGCTGGTTATAAGTTTGTGTCCTGTGTTTGGAATAAAAACTAATTTGGATCAACATATGATGCTGCCATATATGCACTGGAGCACGCATATGATCTCTTTTCAGGATGCTCTCCACTCCAAAAAGCATGGTTGTAGCAGCACTATTGCACACACTGTACATATATCACCTTACACCCAGAATTTAATTAAAGCAGGTTTTAAAAGGGCTTGCTGTACTCCAGGTTTCTGTAATGTGTTGCAATGCAATGACTGAATGACTTCCATGTGAGTGGGTGCCATTCAGTCCTTCTAATGCATTACCAGACCATGTATAAATAATCATTTATAATGGCATTCCCCTGTAGGGGTCCAATCATAAGTTGCTGGGGAAGATGAACAGTAATTGAAGCATTTAACATAAAAAATAAAACCTTATAATTTGTATTCAGAAGTGCAGGACTCTAAATTTATTTTGTATTAAAATATTTTAGAGTTCAATATTTTTTTTGAAAAGAGCTGAAAATACATTCCCACAAATTCCCCAAACTCTGCTGCTCACTGAGTGGGTTTGATTCGCAGCCCAGTGTTATACTGTTTCCAGTGCATCAGTCCAAAAATAACACTTTTATATATATTTGTTTATTTTACATTCTTCATTGACCACCATCACCCTGGGGTGTAAATGCAGCACACTCATTAGCTCAGTCTTGTGTGACTGACAGGTCAGTGAGGAGATGGGCGCAGTGGAAATTTGCTAATTGACCTGTTTTCTTGCTAATGTACAGTATTGCAAAAACATTGCTCTAGCAGCAGCTGCAAATTTAAAAGGAGAGTAAATGATTGATATAATGTCCCTTATTACTCATTTGGCTCACCCTACTAGACTACCACATATAGCACATACAGAGCTGCTTCTTCACGTGAGCGATACAGGTTTTTTTTATGTTAATATATTAAAAACGCTAAATAGACTGTTTAACTTACTAATGGCTGAGGACATGTCGCCAGAAAACACAAATAAAGGGACTATTGGTGACTGACTGCTTGTTTATTGAACAGTGTCAGAATTTTTCCCCCACTGAAAATCTTGGTGTGACTGTTGGGGGTCGGTGTGATGAATGGTTAAAAGCCACTGGCTATGTTCTTTTCTATTTTCTTTTTCTAAAAGAAATATAATATATTCATTGATTTAATGTACATTGTTTGAGCTGGAAATCAATATACAGTACGTTGATTTAACTGAGTAATTTAAAATATCAAATAGCAGCATTCATGTACTTTTTACCCAGAAGTATATTATGCATAAGGGATAGTTTGTGTGTGTGTGTACTTGTCTGTGTGTTTCATTATACATTATAAGCAACTGAAGCAATTGAAATCCTTGTTGCAGCAAGTCTGGTATGATAAGACTGGTACTTTTTCATCAGTACTCTACTGCCTTATATCTACACTATACCTGTAATAAATGAAAAATACAGAAAATACTACTACTAAACCCTAACCCTGTAGGATTCAGTATTACAGGATGATTCAGTGAATACATATAAAAATAGGGACATTTTCATGGAAAATGTATGCTGAATTTATTTACATTAGTTGCTCATGAGTCATAATGTGTAGCTTTTGAAAGACTTCATCAGCAGTCAGTGAAACATTCCTGTCAGGAACAATCATGTAATTTATTGCATGTCCATGGTGACAAAGTTGGCAGCGAAGACACAAGGGCCATACTGTATCTTTGTGATGCTTTCTCCAGCTCTGATTAGTTGCTCAGTATCCTAATTGTAGCTGTGTGCAGCATGTTATTGGTTGATGATGTGTGCTTGCTTGGCTACCAAAACTGTAGCTTGTGCAGAGTTGGTGCACTGAGAATTAATGTCAGGAATGTCAGGAGATCTGACCAAAACAGCGTAGCCTACTTAGACTACCATGAGTACATAAAGACATTATAGACATGGTGGTAAAATTGCATTGTCAGTTGTGCTGTTTACCCAAGCAGCGATAATGCCATGTCTTACCTGCTGCAGAACCACACACTGTGTATTATGTAATCAAGCTACAGCCAAAGTGGTAACATTACCACTATCAGGTCTGAGTGTATTTCAAGCCTGTACCACTGTGAAGCCACTTTTAACACCACAGCCACAGAAGTTTGCTTTCAACTTTACATTAAATATTTCCTTAGCTCAGCTTGCCGTCCACATTAGTCCGGTCTCTGTGGTTAAGTCATTGTGGTCTCTGAAGGTTTTCTGTCTGCTTTCATCTTAAAAAATGCATGAGGAAGAGAGAAAGTGAAGACAGATAGAGGAAGCGAGATGACTCTCTTTGAAGGACAAGGCAATATGCTTTATTACTTTTTACCCAAATCTGGAGCTTACAGTGCCAGAATTGGAGTTGGGATGAAGTCAAAAGGTCATTGTGCTATTGAGTGAATGTCCTTCAGGCGTGTCTGTTCGGTTTCTTGCTATTGTGTGATTTAGAAATACGTCTGAAAAAAATGGTCCTACATTTCAGTGTGTGTAAAAGAATCTGTGAACCAAGTGGCACAGAGAAACCATTGTTACCTGGGTGACAGATATCTCAGTAAAAAGTATAGTTTTGGTGTAGACTGTAAAGATTAAAATAGGAAAGAGGTCACAGACCATCTGGGATGTGTGCCAGCTGATTCAATTTGAAAACTGCTCCTGAAAAGGGAATATGTAGGAGTCTCTGGATCAACACAATCTTGTATCCTTGCTGATGTGCATCAAAAAATCTTGTTTTCAAAGGGAACAAAAAACATGTCTGCTGAATCTACTATCATCACTTGCATCCCTCTAAATTGCATCTTGTTGTCCCTTGTGTGGTTTTATTGCAGATAAATTCCTCCTGGTGTCACCACTCCGTCGGCAGCCATGGCTTTTTCTGTTTCTGGAGGGACCGTGTTCACCATCCTTCTCATTAGCAGGTAAGACTGCTTACAGTAGGAGAAACGCACCCGCTGGGATCTGCAGCCACGACGCTGTCTTAACAGGCAGAAAGCATAATCAAGTCATGTCAGATTCTAATTTATAACAGCCAATGTATGCAGTGAGCTGAGGAAAAGATAGAGAGGTATTCAGTTGTGTCATTATCTTGTGAACCATCAATACTCAATAACAGCTCCCCATGCATCAGAAAAGAAGCATTGAAATTCCATTGCCACGTTCATGACGCTGCTGAGCAGAACTGACGAGGCAGGATCCAGCATCACATGTATCAGTCATTGCACACAGTTGGTGTTATAATCCCTGCAGAGGTCATACGGAGAGAATGATGGGATGTTTTGGTACACATTTTTCTGCTACCGTGAAGAGAAGACTCTCTTCTTCTTGCAGTTGATTTTCAAAGCACAGAATGCACTTTGCACATTTTAGATAAGGCAAACCCTCTGGGTCTCGCTGAATCCTGCTATAAGATATTCTCTGTATAGTGCAACGCTTTTTTGCACAATCAGCTCTGGGATTAATGTGCTAGTGCAGGTTTCCTGCTACACTAGTATGTTGCCAAATGCATATGCTTTCAGTGTAAACACCATATGACAGACATGAAATTAATTCATTGCATGAATCTCTGAGCTTCAAAAGATCTCATGCCAATTATTTTTGCATTGATCATTGTGTGTTTGACTGAATTGTCTATGTGCATGTGTGGACATCAAAACGCGGATGCATGTCAGTCAAAGCTGAGAAAGCCTTACGAATAAGCATTTGTTCTTTTGTAATTAGTGAAAAAATATGGTATTTTTAACAGGCTGCTCCCTAATAGTTGACTTTGTCGCTGAGAAGAGTCTTAGTCGAGTTTAGTCGCAGAAAAACAAAAACGTGAAACTCCATTCAGGAGCTGCGCCTATGGGCTGATATTTGTGTCAGTAGAAACTGAATTTGAATTATTTAGAGCTGAATCTGAATTGCCGCGAAATAATTGCATTACAGAGGACGGCTGAATCGAGGGGTGAATTCTCGCCATAATTTTGGAATCTTTGCTATTCTTGTGCTGAACTGAATCTGAATAGCTAATTGAATTTGAAGTTCAGTTATTAGTTTGAAACTAAAGTTCTTGCAGCCTCCACTAAAAACTTAACTTTTGTATGGCTGTACTTTTCACCATTTTCAGATCTCTACAATTCAGAAATTCAAATCTCTAAATTCAACATTCAAAATCCCTGTGTTAGAAATCTGCGAAAATCGTCAGATTCGCGCGTTCAAGTTCACATCCTCAGACTCGCGTTCACACTTCACAAGTTCCAGAATCGCTCCAGATGTCAAATTCGAGGGATGCTCCATCTTCAACGATTCAGAGTCGCTCCAACATTCAAAGACTTCAGATGCTCCAGTTGGCTCGAACAATTCGGTGTTCTCGTCAATCCAATTTCAAACCCAACCAAACACTCACATTTTGTTGAAGTGCGATCCAAGACGGTGCGTCAAGACCCTTAAGGAAGAAGCAATCGAGTGGCGAGAGGTGCAGCAGCCGTGCAGTTCCGTTCTCCAACGCCCAAGGCCAGCAAAGGGCGACTGGTCACTGGATCACACCCAGAGCCCCAGTCTTCAATCCAGGAAAACTAATCGGCTAAAATAGGCAGTTTCTCCCATCTGACTGTATTACCTCATTACAGTTTTGTCTTATGAGTGTATGTCTGAGGTGATCTGTAATCCGTCCCAGTTTCCGGGGCCTGCCCTGTCACCCATCAAAGCTACAGCTGCGACCTATCCTACCCTGCACCTGGGTGACAGTGTTGGAGCCCGGATCAAAGGGAGAACCGGAACGTCTATGTAGGAGGCGGCTGGTGAAATATTCTTCCCCGGTGTAGTAATGTGTTGGTGGTCTTGTAACCGGCACACAAAAACTAGCGCTCCTGATATGCAGCAGGGGTTAGCCTCACAACAGTGGAAAATCAGCGAGCTCACCCATTGGCCAAAAATTTCCTGGTTGCCAGGTGCTTCTGAAGATGCCAGCGGATTTTCTCCTGAGGACTGTCCCACGCATCTTGTCACCCGTTTACATGGTATTTCAGGTGGCAATCTTAAGGAGTACCGAGTCCCACCTGCCGCTGTACGTGGTTTGCCGTTCTGCGCCATGGCACTTTTCGCCGGACTTACTGGGTACTAATACGGTGGCAAACCAAGGGCTCGTGTCCGACAATCACCCACAACTACTCAATTAGGCCTACTAACAAAACCAATATACAAAACCAAAGCAGCTGTACACTGTACGAGAAAAGATCCGCACTGCCAGCTGAGCAGCTAGTTATGCTACGATACCTGCTAAGAAGATACCGACATATTCATCATCATGAAATCATCAGCATCCAGAAACTGCAACACTGCTGAGACTGCTGATCACCACTTGTATTGAGCTAACCCCTGCTGCAATAATCAGCGACGCCTTATTTCTTGCCTAAAACAAAACCTACTAACCTGGAAAATAATTATACACCAGCCGACTCCTAAATAAGTTTTTTCCTATGCTACGGGGACTCCAATTCTACCAGTGCAAGTAAGATAGAAAGTTCAACTGTAGCCTTGAATTG